CATATCACGCCAAGCTGCAAACACCCGAATAATCGCCTGCGAGCACTTATTCTTACATAAGCAGTGAGAATGTATTCTAAATCAATAACTCTCTGATTCAACTGCTAACATGAAAAATGAAAACATGTGTCAATATGCTTGCTTCAGACTGTAATGACTGTCATCTTTATAAGATCTATGACATTCTTATTATCAGTAAGAATCTGTATCAGAGATGTAGTAATAAAGTCAAGCTCAATTATGAGATTTCAAATTCATATTATCTCACAGATCATCTCACTAAGAGCTATATATTCAGTCTTATTAAAACTTAGAGATATACAAGATTGTTTTACTGAATATTATGAAATTAAGCTGTCTGTGAGCTTAAAAATATAGCTGAATGTTAATTTTCTATCATTATTTAAGAGATCAGCTCAATCAGAATCTGAGTAGCTGAAGAGTAGATAGAAATCATTGAGAAAATCAGAGATAATAAAAAGATTGATAGAAATGAAAAGATTAATAGAAGTAGAAGAAACAGATTTCTTATACAGATTATATCTGTAGAAAATACTCAGATTTATAATCTCTTTTAAATAATGTATAACATATAATAGAGCCTTTTAATATTGAGATATTAAATTAACATTTCATTGAGTAAGTAGCAAGGCAGTGTGAGTGATATCAGAACATGTTTTAACTACAAGATATTACAAGTAACTCATATTATATTAATATTACTGAATTGTGAAATCAGTCTCTTTCTCAGATATAGAGAAATTATTAATACAGAATTCATTCTTTATTGATATTCTGATAATAGCTGTATTATTAAGATAGAAATCTTTAACAAGACATTTAATATATTGATAATATATTAAATTAATTCTCTTATTTAAATAATTGATCTTCATACTTAAATACTTGATTAACTAGTGTAGATTCTTGACTTTCAATTTCTCACTAAGTATACTTACTAGTTAATCAGCATTCTCAGAAGCTTCAGATATAATGTTGAGATTATCAATATAGATTATTATATAGAGATGACATCTGAATATATAATATTAAAGTACTGAATTATAAGTACTAACTGTAAATTCAAGATCACTTAATAGAACTGTTAAGTAATTGTATCAGATCTTTGTCATAGAGTTCAGATTATATAGACTACTCTCAATTATACAGATAAGTGTTTTCAGTGAATCTGTCTTAAATTCAGTGAGTTATCTTATATAGATCTTCTTAGTAAGATACTCATACAGATATATTATTACTATATTTACTTAATGAAGTATTCAATCATGAAGTGCTGCTATTATAAAAAGAATACAATTAACAGTATCAGTGATGATAGAAGTATAGATCTCTTCTCTAGAACTCTTCTTAAGTCAGTTATTATAAATCACTCAATATAATTTTCTAAGAATATTATCAGAATTGATATTCAGATCTGCAGATCTATCTTTCTTAAGAAATACTTAACAGTCTGAAGTAATCAGTTCATCTCTCAGAATATCTGATCTAGAGATTAAACTTCATATATTGTGTCTCTTCAGATCAGTAATCTCATATTATATGAACTTTTTTTAATAATCTTCTACTCTCTCTAACTGAGATATGACATTCTTGTAGAACTTCAGAAGATTATCTGTAATAAGACTCAGAGTATATGTAGTCAGTGATTTCACAGACTGCAATCATGTAGAATTCAGATTATTAATATCAGAGACATCTTTATTATCAATCAGATGAATATCAGGTTTCAGTTCAATAACATAATTAATAAGTTTCACAGATATAATAACTGGTTTTTCAGTGATCAGAAATCTCATATCACTACTAATAATAATCTTATCAGATTTGAGATGTCATAGATAATATATTAATGTGTCACTGAATTCAATGATATAATAGAAATCAGTATGTGAAGAAAGCTTATTCACAGATTACTGAGATTCATGCAAGTGAATAAAAACCTCTGTACTTAATCAGTGAAAATGTCTCACATTCAGTGAGATATTCATAAGTGCATACTAAGAAATCTTATATAAACTTGAAATCACAGAAGTCTCTGCAGTAGAGGACTAAAATTTCAAGTTATAAAGAACTGTAGATGTGAGAGTATTATTAATTATTATAATCACTGTCTCTAGAATATCTGCTCAGAACTTCTTAGAGAGATTATCTTTTAAAAGAGCAGCTTTAATCTGTCTTATAATAGTGCAGATCTCATGTTTGAAAATATCATTCTGATGTGATAAATGTGATACTGTTAATTCTCATTTAATATCATATGAATTCATAACTGTGTGTATACATGTGAATTGAAAAACATTATTAATATCAGTCTGTAGAAAAGCAGAGACTGTATATCTGAGATTACTCATGAATCTGAGCCATAACTCAAAGTATTGAATAGTCTCATTCTTGAACTTTAAAAAATATACTTAACAGTAGTAAGTCACATTACAGATGATAAGTATTCAGTATTTAATCTTCTAGCAGAACTCTAAGAGATAATTAGAGAGATCTTTCAATGTATATTTATTATCTATAAAATCAATATAAATCTTCTCAATAAGTTAAATAGATCTAGGCATTGATGTTTTTGAATAATCTTGTATTATATCTGTCTTAATACATTTCATATAAAAGAACTTAGTCTTAGAATCTTTAATTATGACTTCAGTATAAGAATTCTTGATCATAGTAATTATAGTATCAGTGTAAATGTGACTGAAATCACAGTGTCAGTTCAAAAGAGTCTTTGATATTCTTATATTCTTAAGACCTGTATTCAGAACTGTAGAATCAATGTTATTAATAGTAGTAACAGCAGTCACAGAAAGATTAACTTTTCAGTTAAAATTATACTCATATAATATTGTAATATACTTGACTGTCTTATTCAGATAATTAAGATTCTCATTGAACTTCTGTTTATTAATCTTATATATATTGTTCTGAGCAGTCTGAACTATATGAAAAATAACATCATTTAGAGCTCTGTAAATGAAAAATGAGAAAATAGTAAAAGATAATATAAATCAGAATCTCTGATCTTCAAGCTTTATAAATGAGAGCAGATTAACTATAATATTAGAAATATAGTGAATATTCTGCAAGTTAATATTATCACTCTTAATCTTTAAGATAACAGTCTCAATCTTCTTGACAAACTCAGTTTTCTCAGTTACAGAATTGACAGAGATATTATCATTGAAAGATTTAATATTTGAGAAAGAATAAAGCTCACTTATTATATTTAGACTTGTACATGTGTTCAAATATCAAGATCTAGAGAATGATTTTCCAGTGACTGTGAAAGAGAAATAGAACTCAATCTTTATAATTACTGTATTTACTGCTAATTAAGAACTTATCAAGTTATTCTTCTTCTCTTTCTTCTTATCATTCTTCTTATCATTCTTCTTTTTCTTTTTATCAGAGTGTAGAATGAAACATCTGTCAATAGTATATTTATATCTTCTATAGTGAGTGTACTTTCATACAGATGTGCTTTTATTCTTATCTTTATTCTTATTCTTTTTTACAGTTACAGAATCAGTCTGAGACTGCTTTTTTCATTCAGTAATAATCTTCTTAAATATACAATTAATCAGTTACTTCATTAAATTATTAATATCAATATTAATAATGAGTCTCTGATTAGTGAAGAAAAACTCATTCAAATGTATCTTAATAAACAGTCTTTGATAATCTTATAGATTGTTGAGAAAAAGATTATAATATATATTTTTAGTACTCTGACAGAGCTCTTTATAATAGATAATAAGATAGTAAAAATATCTCTGAAAAGTAAGATAATCATTCTTCTTAACTTATAATTTTATTAATTTCTTAAAGATATTAACTCATTCTTCTATCAGTGATATTATATATTCAATATTAATCTTATCTTATAGAGCTGCAGTATTATCAGCTTTCAAGATTTTAATAGTAATTTGAATGTTTTTAACAAGACTTGATAGTATATATCTATATAGAGACTTAAAATGAATTCTTCACTTCTCAGAATTAATATAATATATAAAAGAAAATTCTCATTGAATTCTTAATAGAATATTAGTTTTATTAATAACTTTCATATCAGTTAATATATCAATATATCAGACTTTATAATTAAAGTTATTAAATGTAGTCACTGATTTAATATTTAATATATATTTAATCTTCTTCTGATATTTCTGTAACTTATCTCTTATAGTATCTCTTTATACAGAGATAGATATAGTAAGATGTTAAGTAATTTCAGCTGCAGTTATTTGATTTCATAGTATTATCTATATAAGATTTATAAGATTGCCTGCAGTGTAATAGATAGATTGATTTAAATTATTATTAAAAGTCAGCATTCTGAGAGTGAGAAATAGTAAAGAATTTAATAAGTTGAAATGAACAGATTCTATAGATGAATATTAACTCTGCTTTTTTTTATTCTGAAGTTTCTCTGTTATCTCATCATTAAATTTCATACTCTGGTGAAAACTGATCTCAGTCTTATCTTATAAGTCAGAAGTCTTCTTATAATAAGTGATTATTCTATTAATGAGTTATCTAGTGAAGCATGTAATTCTGAGTCTTGAGCTGAACTCTGAAGTAACAGATATATCACTTATATCAAGGTAACTCTGCTTCTTCTAGATATGTAAAAAAAAAAATAAAAAAGTGATATTCTTCACAATGAAGAATATACTTTTTTAAAAAAATAAAGTATATAAATCTGCTGACTAGCAGATTCAGAAAAAATGAAATATCTCTAATAAAGAGTAAGAGTCTTTTCAAAAAAGATGAACTATTCATGTCAAAAATGTTGGTGCAATGTTCTAAAAAGAAAAATGTGTCATCCAGGCTATAACCTGTAGAATAGTTGAAGGTTGTGTATTGATAGATCTATCTACAAGAACATAATATAGTGGTGGGTCACATGATCTAGTGGGATCGCTAACCGCAACGGCCGTAAGGGCCAACACAAGTTAATTACTTGGATATACTATAAGTTACTGTCCTTTGCTGCACTAATCTCACTGTGGGTCCCTCGCAAATCATATTAAATACTACCAAGTAACGATACGATACTCCTTGACACCCCCCGCCGCTGGCCCAATCACTAGCTAACGCTTCAGTAACTCCTATGGATCCATGAACTCTTGCCTGCCTCTTTGATGTATCCAATAATGATGTTAATGATACCTCCGCACTTGGCTCCTTGAAGCAACAGGATTGTCATAACCTATTTATTCATACTCTTTCCTTGGGTGTTTGCACGCTGGTGGGAGGGAGTAAACAAAGGGTCAAGGCAAAGTTGAAAAAAGGAACAGAGCGGGGGAAAAGGGAGAAGAGACTGCCTGATTTCCTAATGACTATGGCCCTATTTCACTGTAAGTTAGAAGGCTCTTCCACATTCGGGCCAGAGAGGAACCTATCTCATAACCTTTTTTACTTACTTTTGTATGTGGCTATTTAGACCCTTGATTTCCCGCGCGTTGTGTTACCAAACCCGCTTTCGACTCTGACGGAATACAAGATATAATGGAACTGGCCGTGAGAAGAAGAGGCCTTGGGCGGGTTCTTGTTTCTGTTTCTTTTCCTGCTTGGGGACGGAAATCTGTGGCCAGGGATGGATGGCGGCGTGCCTTTTCCGCAGTTGCGCATCTCCGCAAGGTCGAAGATATTGGCCGTCTGCCGGATTCCGTTTTCCCACGGTATGAAGGTGTGCGTCGATTTTTCGCTTTATTTTGTTCTTGACTTGCGGCTCAGTCTAGTCAGTTCGTTAGGCCGTGCGCATACTTACGTGTGAACATCTGTTAAACAGAATCGCGGGGTAGTGATCTCCTAGCTCTCCGGTGGCCAAAACCACCACAGAATGTCCTCCTCGTTAGAAAGAAAGGGGCACCACATGTGACCCAGTCACTCATTGAATTCGCAAAGTACGTCTCCATGTGCCCTCATACCTTTTTGATTTACTAACACGGCTTTTCTTCCTTTTCTACCAGTCACATAAAGTCGACCTATTCCCCTATTTCTGTTATATTGGAGCGCGAAACCGCTGCGGAAGTTCACGATGTGCTGCCATTCCCTGTATATACTAACCTGGACTCGGAAAAACTACCGCCAGAGAAAATCGATCTCACAGTCACAATGGGCGGTGACGGAACCATCCTACGCGCATCTTCCTTCTTTGCAACATCCATAATAGTCCCGCCAATTCTGGCTTTCAGCATGGGAACGCTAGGGTTTCTCGGAGAATGGAAGTTTTCAGAATACAAAGGTGCCTTTAGGGAAGTATATATGTCCGGAGCCGGACCAGGGAACCACGCATCTCTATTAGAGCGGTGTGTGGAAAGTGCGAGTCCAGTCGACACCCTATCGGCGTCGACGACGCCACCCTCATCAGCACAGGGCTGGGATTTAGTTCGCGGAAAGTCCATGGGAGCATCAAGACCCGCAAAGATCCTCGTTCGCAGCCGCCTACGGGTGGGAGTATACACTCCAGACGGGCGCCCGGTGCACCGCGACGGTGCAACGATGGCCTCCCCCTCGGACGACGACGGCGGCGTTCACGCCATGAACGAAGTGGTCATCCACCGCGGCAAACAACCACACCTTGCCATCGTCGAGGTCTACGTGGGCGGGCGCTTCCTCACCGAAGCAGTCGCGGATGGCATGATCATCTCCACACCCACGGGCAGCACAGCATACAGCCTCAGCAGCGGCGGGAGCATCATCCACCCGCTCGTGCCGTCCTTGCTGGTCACGCCCATCTGTCCACGTAGTCTTAGCTTCCGCCCTCTTGTCATCCCGTCTAGCACGCCTGTGACGCTAAGACTTAGCGAGAAGAATCGCGGGCGTGAGGTTGAAGTTAGTATTGACGGGGTGATGATGGCGCAGGGGTTGAGGGTTGGGATGGAGGTGAGGGTGTGGGGAGAGGAGATTCAAAAGAGTAACGGGGAGTGGAAAGGGGGGATTCCGTGTGTGATGAGGAAGACGCTGGGAGATGGGAATGGTGGGAATGGTGGTGGAGGTGATGCGGCAGATGGGTGGGTGGGGGGTTTGAATGGGTTGTTGAAGTTTAATTATCCGTTTGGGTCGGAGGTATGAGATGAACAGGCCAGGAGAGATTGCTCCTCTCTATTTTTTATTCGTGGTATAAGGTTGGTTCGACAGTTTGTGATGTGATGAACGCCCCGTGAAGTCCCCATTTATTTATCTTTCTCCTTTTTAACGGCTGATTGATTTAGTTCACTGTACTGCCCTGTCACGCATTCGGTAACCTCGTCATTCTACATCCTCCCTTCCCATCTCGCGTGTCTATTATACCTACATGGACTGAATCTGTTTACCCTTTTCCTACTCTTAAGACTCACTACACACTCCCACCCCTTTTTCCCACAGCCCAATCCGTCTCCCCGCTTATTTATTCTACGAATATCGTATATATGTTTATATGTATATACCTGCGGGCTAATTTACATAGCTCTGCCTACCTACCTACCTACCTACATACATACATACATACATACATACCCCAGCAAATTGCAATTACATCAATGGCATAAACCTCCGCTTCATCATAACGTTGGGGCGGGTTCTATGAGAAGCAAGCCCACTCGTATCTTTTGAATAGAGAATAGGTATATGGAAAATGTGGAACCGTAAGGCGAGTTCGGTTCTTTGGGTATTGCTTGATCTGTCTAATATTTAGTTGATTTTGATATGTTTTATATATTGAACGTCATGACAACTGACTGTAGGCTGGCGGTGCGGGGGTGGATGGCGCCTGTGCCGGAAGGAAACTGAGCTATGGAACAAAAAAAAAAAAAAAAAAAAAAAAAAAAACACCCCCATGCTAGGAGTGTAGTAGGGATGTTTATTTTTCCGTCTTCCTGCATGCGATTTTGGATACGATGGTTATGATCACTAAATGCCGTGGGCCAGCGCTTATCTGTTTTATTTAGATCTTAAGCGAGGAGGGATCTAAGTAAGTAGATATATAGATGGAGATTATAGCGACGGATGGCATGGAGAATAGTGAGAATAGTGAGGTGTAAGAGGAAAACCCTATCCTTACAAGTTGAAGTTGAATTATTTGAGACTAGATAGATAGATATAGGGTTCACCATACCTATACTATACTTAGTACTAGTTTTTTTTTTTGCTGGATATGGTTTGAGTTAGACAAGTCTAGGGTTTGACGGCAAACCAGGGAAAGAGAATATTTAAAATTTCTCCCCCTTTTTTCGAACTATTTAATTGATGAGTAAATAAATAAATAAATAAATAAATATGGATGTTAAAGGGGAATTTGAGGGGGTATTTGTTGGACTCCTTTCATTATTAATTCCTTGTCAGAGAACTCGAGAGACACGGGGATATTTATTAGTTATGGAAAGGTATTTAAGTTAAAATAACCTGCAAGTAACCAGAGCCACGACATATTTAAATGACATATTTAAATAATTGGTGGGGATGAAGGATATAGATAGCATCATAGCTGCAAGATGCTTAGAGAGCAAGGAGATTCATTTGATCATTTGATGATTCCTGATCAGATCTTTCGAGCTGGTGTTTGGCCTGTATTTATTTTATTTAACTAGCCTGTTCTACGCTGTATTAAATAAATATTTTATCACTAAATGGTGGTTGTCTTGTCCAAGTTGTCTTTCTTTCTTTTTGCCTCTCACCAACCTCCTCCTCTTTCCTCCGCTTCCTCCTCCTCCTCCTCCAAACTTCATCCAACTTCATCCAACAACCACTGTGCACACGACACACGACACACCGCACCCCCCGCCTCTTCATTTCTCCTCCACCCCACCCCGCTGGCAGATAAAGGCTGTCAGCGAGACACCTCTGCCTGGCTCCCTCTTTCTCGCCTCCTTTTTCCACCAACCCCTCCTCTGTCGACCCGGTTACATGTCAGTAAGTGACTCTCTCCCTGCCTACTAAGAGGACTCACCCCTCTTTGGCTTCACTCTTCCCACAACCCAACCCACGCGAGCATTTGACATCGTTCCCTCCACCTTATTTACTCTGCTCGTCTATGCCCCAACGCAGACTATCCCCCCTTTGGAATATCTTCTGCTGCGGCATTTTTATACGTTTTTGTCTCTCTGTGTGGTGATGGTTTCGTTGGCTGACCCCTCAACTCTGCGCTTGGAATCATATTTAAATAGCTATTTAAGTTAAATAGCGGTTATTTACTGAAGTGTGGAACGCCCCTCCATCTCCATCAATAAATAAGCCTATTCGCTCTCTCTGTCTGCCGTCAATAATACTTGTGTGAATTCCCCTATGTGTGCCTTTCTGCCGTGATCCAGAAATGGCGTCTCAATCCAAGTAAGTCCCCCCCCGTATCTGTCCTGTTGTTCGATCGTCATCGCTGCAAGTGGCTGGCTGTTGTGATGGACAATCCTACCACGAGTGAATCAGCCCAACAATGCCACCTCGACACAATAACCAGCAATAATAAGAAAGTGAAATCGACACTCCAGCCTTCACCACTGCCAGGAATTGATGTCAACACCGTGTTCACTGCTAACACAATAGGTCAGTGTTTATGGCCGGGACCAGTTCATGAATCCAGGGCCTGCCCCGCGCCCACCAGTCGATCGCCCCCGCGTCAACACAGGCGGATCTACCAATTCCTCTGTTGCTACGAGTTTTGCCCAAATGTCTCTAAACTCCCCGTCCACCACTACGCCCACCCTCTCCGTCTTCCCAAACTCCAGCCAGCTTTCATTGAGCCAGACCAAAACACATCTGAGCAGCATGGGCGGCGTCAGTGTCATCAAGGAAGGCTATGTCCGCTGCAAGGAGGACAAATTCCTGGCGAGCTGGAACCAGCGCTACCTTATCCTTCGCGAATTCAGACTGGACTTTCTGAAGAATGAAACAGGGAAGGTGGTGTTATCTATCCAGCTGAGCCATGTCATTAGGGTTTCACGATCGGAAGACTGCAAAATGGCCTTCGAAATCATCCGGATAGCGAACCCCAAGGATGCAAACAATCGCAACCCTTCTGTTAACCGAGAACTGGCTACTAAATCCATAACCTGTGAGGTCAAGAACGACGATGAAATCTACGAATGGATCGACAAAATTTACGAGCGATGTCCTGGAATGGGCGGCGTGTCCAACCCAACCAACTTCAACCATCGCGTGCATGTCGGTTTTGACCCGCGGACAGGTGCCTTTACAGGACTTCCGGCAGAGTGGGAGAAACTCTTATCTACATCAGCAATCACTAAGGAGGACTACAAGAATAACCCACAGGCTGTGATTGAAGCCCTGGAATTTTACGACAGCAAAATGCGTGAGAACCAGGACTATTACGATGTCACGCATGGTATTAAGGGTGCTAATACGATGGCAATCGGAAATTCTATCACTGGGCCCAGGCCAAACCAGCAGGGAGGACTGCAACGCCTCGATAGCCAACAAAGTGCTGGAGATCTCTCCCAGAGCTCTTCACCTGCACAGTCCCAACGCAAGGCGTCAGATCCAGAGCGCCCATACGACGACCGGTCGAAAGAAATGCCCGATACAGAGCAGCGACGTCGTATGGACGAAGAGGCTCGTCGCATCCGAGAAGTTCAACGTCAGCGTGAAGAGGAGCAAAATCGCCGCGAACAAGAAGCATATAATGCTTCGCTTCCCAAGAATCGCGTCCCAATTGCGCAACAGGAACTGGGTGGCTATTCAGATCCAGATCGATATAACCCTTCGAGGGCACCACCCAAGGTTCCTGGTGCTGATCGCACTCGACAACAGACCCCCGGTTCATTGAGACAGATGACTGCGCAGCGTCCTGCTCCTCCACCACCTACTGCTCAACAAAATGGCTCTCAACCATCTTCACAGAGGCCAGACGAAACCGGCCAGCAAGGGTCTCTACGTGCTGCTCCACGCCAAGATGGATCTCGACCACAACAGTCTTCGAACACCAGTCGTTACAATGGTGGAGAGGCGCGTCACCAGACTTCAGTTAAACGGCCAACGCAAAACAATGGCGCTAGTCCTCAAGGTCCTGCTCCGAGTCGCCTCCCGGCTCCTGTCCAGACAGTGAAACCTCTTAACATTGCTAATAAACAAACAGCTACCAGTACGAACAAAGCTGCCGTTCCCGATGGGGTCCGCCAGGCCGAAGCTGCTTTGACGAAGAAACCCGCGGAGTCTCGGCATAAGGATGTGCGAATGTCGACCATGACCGAAAGTGAAGTGATGGAGAGACTCAAGCAGATCGTATCTAGAACTAACCCTAAAGAATCATATCACAAGTATCGCAAAATTGGACAGGGAGCGTCTGGATCTGTGTATGTGGCTCGCGTTAATGACAAGGCGCCATCCTACGTTGCCCAAGAGGTCTACCAGAAAAATGGCCCGCGTAGCCAGGTTGCCATTAAACAGATGGACCTGAGAAGTCAACCTCGAAAAGAACTTATTGTGAACGAGATCATCGTGATGAAAGGCAGCTCACATCCGAACATTGTCAACTACCTGGAGTCTTTCCTTCAGGAACAGGACAACGAGTTATGGGTTGTCATGGAGTTTATGGAAGGTGGAGCTCTTACGGATGTCATTGACCATAATCCGTCTATACAGGAAGACCAGATCGCTACTATTTGTTACGAGGTGAGCTCATCATCCGTTTCAACCATTCTTCGCCGCGGAAAAGGTTCTAATATTTATTTCCCTCTTCTCTAGACATGCAAAGGCTTGGCACATCTCCATAGTCAGTCGATCATACATCGTGATATCAAAAGTGACAACGTGCTGTTGGATCGTGCTGGGAACGTGAAGATTAGTACGTATTTCTTCCTATCAGCACACCATACATGAATACAACCGAAACTAACAGTGAATCTAGCTGATTTTGGCTTCTGCGCTAAACTTACCGAATCAAAGAGTAAGCGAGCTACCATGGTCGGCACGCCGTATTGGATGGCACCAGAAGTTGTGAAGCAAAAGGCATACGGCCCACAGGTTGACATTTGGTCACTGGGCATCATGGCAATCGAGATGATTGAATCAGAGCCTCCATACCTCAACGAAGAGCCACTGAAAGCTCTATACCTCATTGCCACGAACGGAACCCCATCCTTGAAAAAGCCCGAGAAGCTTAGCAAGGAGCTGAAATCCTTCCTCAGCGTGTGTCTCTGCGTCAATGTACAGAGCCGTGCCACCTCCGAGGAGCTCTTGTCTCATGAATTCCTGCGGTCTGGCTGTAGCCTAGCTAGCCTTGCCGAGCTGCTTCGATTCAAGAAGAATCCGGGCCAGTAAGATAATTCAAGTGGAAGGGAAAAGGAAATGCTGCACTGTTGTGTGTTTTTTGTTTCATTCTTTTTGTCTTTCTATTCTCCTTTTCTTTCTTTTCTCTCCTTGCTCTTCCGGTTTCTTAGACCCTTCTAAATTCAAGAAGAGGGAAGAACACTCGCGCAATTGGGATAACCTCTCTCCCTACCCCCTCTCACAACGAGATTCTACGAACAAAAGAAGACAATATATGTTTCTTTTGAAAAACGCAGGGCAACCAAGCAATAACAATATACCCCAACCCATCGCACGAACACGCCCTCGGAAAAATATTTGCCATAAATCTACCACAATCAAAACACGATCTGCCACGACCTCTTTTGCCAGGGATATCTTCTTTCTTGCTCTCTGTGTTCCTTTTTTCCTTTCTTACCCTTTTCCTTTTTAAACGGAGCATGTGGGCGGAATTTCTTTCTACAGGGCCAGTTGAAATAAAATTCAGAAATTGATGGATAGTTTCGGATGGAAATTTTACAACCCTGCATAGCAACTTTTCCATTGTTTTTTTTTATTTTTTTTCTATTTTATTTTTTTATATCTTCTATTTTATATTTTATTTTGCCTCGCATATTCTATTTGTCCGTTTTTGTTGCTTCTTTCCTCTCTTCTTTCGCCTGCCCTAATATTCTCATCCTTTTTCCTCCAGTGTGTCCTGATTTACGTACAGATACTTGACTGATTGCGTTTAATTCGGAGTTATATCCCATTTTTCTTCCGCGCCTTTTTATCGCCCTTTCTCAATCCCCTCCCCACCGCCCCTAGCTTATCAGGATCGCGTTTGTTCAATTCATAAAGGTTAATGTGACGTGCTCCCTCCCCTCTCTCACCTTCCACCTCTTCTTCTCTACAAAAGCCCGACGACGACCCATCAGTATCAGAATAATAAGCAAGGCAAAAATATACCCTCAATAGATAAATCGTTTGATCTCGCCCGTATTCTCTTGCCGCAATTTCTTTCCTCTTTCTTTCTCTTCCCACTCCCACTCCAGCGCTTCACCCTTTTCTCATACCCGCGCAGACTCCCCGCTGTTCACCTATTCTATGGCATACAGCCTCTCTTCTCTCTCTTCCTCCCCCCCAACCTCCATCCCCATCTGCCTCTCTAATTCAGGCCAATTTTCCTCTAGTTAGCAGAAGCTTGGGATGAGAAAGATGAGAAAGATTCTTTTTTTTCCCATTTCTTGTTTCTTTATATATACTTTTTCTTTTTCTTTTCTTTTTCTTTTCTTTTTTGAATTTTCCCCTCTCATATTCTATGTGTCCTCTGATCCTGCCTTGTCTAGTAGTTAGCCAGGTTATCTTTCTCATTAGGTATTCTCGGCCCAACGTCATCCCATTCTATCCCATGATTGATAATTGCTGTGCTCTTTGCTTCATTTCTGTTTGTTTTCATCGTCATCTGAGTTACAGTTACACTCTTGTCCCGTTGTGTTTTTTTCATGTATGAGCTGAATTGACGGGGTTGATTTTAAAATGAATAACAGTCATTTTCCCTTTTCTTCCGTCTTTTTGCTTCTAGTAGGTAGTTAACTAATAAGAATCTTGTGTGTATAGCTTGTTTGTCTTGTGTCTTCCCCCCCCCCTCCTCTGTGCTACATGTTTCGAACATCAAGTTTATATTTCCACAGTAATTGTATTCAGGAAATGATATCTTGGTTGGATTCGTAGGCTCGCTTTTCATGTTTGTACATACATATCTTCACATTCCGAATCATCGATTTCGGAGACGGCGAGAGGTGTGAGTCAAATTTATTTTGCCGGCATAGAGTAGTAATGTAGGGGAGAAGAGTGGTGGCCAGTTAATAGTTACTAATTAACGTAAGATCAATCAATTGAGTCCATTATGTAGGTAGTGTACATTGCGTAGAATAAGGGACGGCAGTGTCTGGATATGCTACAGCAGAAAGACGGTGAGTGCTTTTTGGCAAAGGAGATAATAATAACTTGAGACATGTGAGAGGCTAAGTAGTTATTAACATGATAAGATAGGTTGGAGGTATATTAGACGAAGAACGTAGGTACATGTACATGTACAATGATCAAGCTCCAAGAAACATAAACAGGGAAGGAAGCAGAGGAGGAAAAAAGGGCATTTTCCCTCAGGCTCTTCTTCCAAGAGCCTACTTGTGTCAGTTTGGCCATGGAGCAGTGTATGTTGTTGTGTATGTCCCGCCCAAAACGCGACCATCCCGATCAATTTTCCGCCCCGAACAAATCCATATCAACAAAACTAGTTCATAGACTCATAACCCAAAAAGGAAAAGGAAAAGGAAAAGGAAAAAAAAAAAAGAAAAAACTTTAACGCCTCACACGACCAAACCCCAGTCAAACCATATCCCCCACAACCGCACCCGCCATGCCTCCTGCGACCTGCCCAAAAAACAAACCTCTCAAAATCGCCTCCCCTTCCTCCACAGCCCAATGACCTGCGGCTCTAAGTTTCTCCTTCCACGCCTCACGCTCGTGCTCATGTAGATCCTCCCATTTGCGTGTTTGGTGTGCCTTTTCTCCGTCCCTATCGCTATCTCCGTCGCCAGATGCGTGGGGGACGGCTATAACGGTGACTAGTGATGGGTCATCTGGGTGTTCATGGACAACGATCTTGATAGATCCCGGCGCGGATTCTTCGGGAGTCTCTGAGGTCGGGGTGGCTTCTGGCACCGCGCGGGAAAGAGAGGAAAGTAAATCGCGGAGGTTCGGTGTTGGGTTTGTTTGCACGACTGGGATGTTAGTTGTGCTTGTTACCGTCATCGTCGTTACGGAGATCGATACCGATGGGGATGTTGTAGCTGTAGCCGTATCTGTCGCTGCGGGTGATCGCCATTTCTGATATTGTGACGACAGACCGTTTTCAAAAAGATACGGACGCGCAATCATTGAGCTGATCTTGGGACTCAGCCATTCTTGAGCTCCAAGCGTTGGCGGTACACCACCTCGTATCTCCGTGAAGGCTTGTAGGAAGAATGCGCCTAGTGCCACGACTATCAACGCCATGAATCCGCTGAACAGTGGCTGTAGAAGCTCTGAGGCCACCGGTTGGGCGAGAACGTGGCGTGGATTTCGGGATTTGGGGGGAGAAGGGGTCACGGGGAGAGTATGCACGACGACTGTATTGCCGACACTTATTGAGGCGAGTTTGACATCCTGCGGCCGTACGTCGGCGGACACAGGTTGAGTGGGTGGGGTAAACGTTGAGAAGACAAGGCGCGTCATAGAGAAAGGGTGCACATTGCGCAAGGTGGCATAGGGGCGGAATTTGCCGAAGGGGTTTTTGCTTTTGCGTGTGTATTCGAGAGTGAGGATCTGGATTGAATTATCGTTGCCGGATACTGCAATTATGAATTGTCTGGTGCCCATGGCCGATTCGGAGAGCGGGCACACGTCCAGGCCTAGGCCAATTTTCATAGCGCGTGGGAGCCTGGTTCGTCGGACGACGGTGCCTTCTTGTGCGAGGCCGAGGGAGATTATTGCTAGTTCGCAACCCGCTCGGTCTGGGTGATTAAGTAGGACGAGAAAGGATGTTGGGGAAAGGAATCTGAGAGCACGGATTTTGCTTCTCTTCTTAGTCCCTGCAAAATAATCGGGAAATGGCAGGGTGTAGGCTGCCTTAGTTTTCGGACTCGCATTCGACTTCGTCGAAGCAGAAACTTTAAATGTGTAAATAGACGTCCCGTCCGTAAATGCCACCTTGAACTTCCCATCCCCGCCTTCACTGCCTGGTAGCATGTCCACATCCTCAACTTCATCTTTGCCCTCCAGCCGGATCCGACCTAGGATATCGGACTCCCCAGGCGTTGAAGACGTCGCATTGAACACGACCATTTCCCCCTCCGGAGCCAAACCGGTAGCTACCGCGCCAATACGAGGGGCCTCCTCTCCCTTCCATGGCGAAAGCCGCAGTAATCTCTGGTATGTTTCCCGCTTCTCCTTAGGTTTATACTTCGGCTCAAACAGCGACGCGCGCGACAAAGGGGTTGATGTCGGCCGGGCAGGCTGAGCATCGTGCTTCTTCCCTCCCTTTTCAGATTTTGCCGGTGAGGTGTTGGAGTCGATTGGCACCTGTCTGGGCGGGTAATCTAGCCGAAAAGATCTGAGATGCTCATTATTGTCCTGTTGCTGCTCCGCAAGGGAGCTGTTGATGCCGGCCAAAGCTATGATTGACCTGTCATTCGACTTCGATACGGCCAGTGAGGTCACAGAATCTTCATCTCGAGATAATTCAATATCGACGATTTCAGATATCTCTTTGCGTCGGGAGGTATTTAGCAAGGTCTATATAGGATAGAGTCAAGGTCGACGGCAGATAGTATTAGCCAGATATTCAGTTCTTGCGCGGAGATTGCGGTGATCGTTCGGAGGTTACTTGCAATTTTATTTCCAACTCCGCTGCGCCCCTCACCTCCGCCGCCGCCTACAAGAAGGAAATTATTATTCCGAGGGTCAAAATCCGCGCCGAAGAGTGGACATGAAAGGGTGATTTTGGCGGATGGGATATCTGGAGCCATGTTCTGTTTACTGGAGCTCGGGAGGCTAAGAATCCAGCTGGTTTATTGTGTCTTGATGGTATGCACAAAAGGGCAAGTCAAAAGTTATGGCTGGAAAAAGGAAATTGGTCCATAATATGTGCAAAAAATAATGTATATAGTCCGGTCAAGCAGCAGAGATGAATATGACCAGTTGTTCGTTGTTGATTCCTTGCTTTTGCTTTTGGGTTTAACTGACGTCGTCAGATCACGGGACTGGGATGTTATCACGTGAAGTTGAGTCTTCCGGAGAGAGAATTTTGGAAGAGATAAAGGGAGAGAATTGTAGCTCATTTAAAAGATTATTTTGATTGTCTTTAGAAGAGTAGCATGTCCCATCACATAGCCCTTCCATATATCAGGTATTTTTTATTTATTTATTTTTTTAAAAAGAGCAATTCTAGGTTGTATTGTATTCCCTTTCCTTACTCCACATCCTGCGAAACAAACTCAGGGAGTCGATTTTTGATATCCTCCCACGTCTCCTCTCCTTCTACCAATGACTTGACAGCTTTGCAAATCTCTTCCTCGCTGGCACGAACTTGTTTCGTGGTATCGCGTTCTCGCAGTGTGAAGGTGTTGTCTTTCACCGACTGGAAGTCAACTGTGATACCAAAGGGGGTTCCAAGCTCGTCATTGCGAGCATATCGCTTGCCGATACTCGCGGACGAATCATCGACTCGGTTAGACACTCCAAGGCGACGGAGTTTCAGCGTGAGGCGATGGACAAGGGGTTGGAATGACGGGTGGTTGGAGAGTGGGACTAGGAGGACTTTCGTTGGAGCGACGATTGGTGGGAACGAGAGCACCTATTAATTATGTTAGATTTATGTTATATATAACTTGAGCTCGAGTTACTTCTTGAATGAACAAAGAAAGGGGGGACTTACACCACGAGCCTCGTCGTCCGGCCTTGACCAATATACGTGCTCCATCAAACACGCAAGAATTCTGCCAATTCCAAAAGATGGTTCAATCACATTGGGGGTATATTCCCGGATATTCTCAACTCGCGTCCGCTTCTCAATATTGATTATGTCTTTCTCGAGTTCGACCTTGCCAGAGCCAACGCCTTCTACATCTATCTCAATCTTACCATTTTGTTTAAGGTCTAGCGATAGTTTCTCCCGGAGATCTTGAGTCAGAGCGTTGACGGCAGCCTCGACAAGCTTGCCATCCTTCTTAAAGCGAGGGCCAAACTTCTTCTTGTCCAAGTCAATCTGCCACTCTTCAATCCGAAGTGGTTCAGCGCGAGTTTCCCGTACGAAGAGAGGAGCGCCGGTCTTGTTTTTGTGTACTGTCAAATCATAAGCACTGCGATCCGCGCAGCCAACGCACTCGATCCAGCCATAGGAGGTAAACAGCTCTGCATCCCAGCAGTCTTGGGCATAGTGAGCCATTTCATTCATCATATGTTGGCGCATCCGGATTTTGGACTCATCGATGCCGATTTTCAAGAGGAATAGTTGAATGCGAGCTAGGAAGTAGCCCAAGGTCTCATTATCAACAATCTTGTCGGCAACAGCTTTGCCAATGGTCATTCTCTCCAATTTGGTGCTGCCAGAGAGCTGGACCTCCCGGTTCAGGAATGACAACTCCATATCTTGCACCTCATGGAAACGGGGATGTTTCTTGCCGCCCTCTGGATCTACAAAATGCTCGATCTCGGCCATCAAAAATTCTCGTACTCGTAGAAGTCCAGAGCGCGGTGAAATCTCATTCCGGAATGATTTTCCAATCGAGGCAGACGCAAACGGCATTGACTGCTGGTTGAACTCCAAAAGCTTTTGGAACGTAAGGAATTGTCCCTGGGCAGTTTCGGGTCTGAGGTATCCACGCATGCCGCCGCTCGGGCCAATTGAAGTCTGGAACATAAGGTTGAACGAGACTGGGGGCAAGACATCTCCTCCAGTAGTGGGATTCTTGATATCATATCTGACGATAAGCTGCCCGAGCTCCTCGCCATCGTAGTTATCAATCTTGGCCAGGATTTCCTCGTATTCGGCGACCAGAGCGTCATCAAGCTTGACAGCCTTGGTCTCCTTGGCCTTCTTCTTCCGTTTGGCGTCCTTCTCTTCCTCAACCTCTACCTTTTGGCCACGCGCCTCCTTGTCGCCTTTCAGTCGCGCCTCAAGCACCTCCTCTACCAAATGGTCTGCCCGAAAGATCTCACCGGTCTTGGGGTCTTTGCACATCCAGTCGGCGAATTTGTCCACGTGCCCAGATGTTTTAAGCACTTCATGCGGAGTTAACATTGTGCAGTCGACTTCCAGCATATCTTCTTCCAAGACGAAGTGTTTTCGCCAAATGTCGACAACATTGGCTTGGAGGGCGCAACCAGGGGGGCCATAGTCATAAAGGCCAGATACCCCGCCATAGATTTCAAAGGAGGGCGTGTAAAACAGCCGTCGACGGAGGAGGGAATCTAAGGTAGGGCGGTCAAGTGGTTGCCCAGTTTTAGTAGTACTGGTAGCCATTTTGGCCTTATTTGGGTTGGCTACGACGTGGAACCTCAGCGGCGGTGGTGTGCAGGAGAATTGTCTTGCTTGGGTAGTGAGGGGTCGTAACGCTCGTGAAAAGAGTTGAACAAGGGATTGACGCATACACAATTGCGCTTATAGAAGAGTAACAGAGGGCAAAGGGGAAAAAACGAAAGGCGATCAGGACGAGAGAACGAAAGGGAGAAGAAGCAAATAGTAGAGGGTGTAGAAGAAGGACAACGATGAGCTGGTACTTCACTGAATGACGCTTGAATGTTTGTTGTATTTTTGAGGTTGAGTTTCGACTCATAATAATTTTAGCCCGGCAAAATATTTCTCCGGTATGGAAATTTATTGAACAAAAAAAGCTGAGAAACAACATCGCAAACTTATATCTAGAAGCAATTGGGAGAATCAGAATCAGCCCCGGAGTTCGCAAAATGCCTTCGAAAAGGTCGAAGCTTCTCCCCTCCGGCGGGATGGAATATAAGCCGGGCAACAAGCAGAAAAGACAAATTCTACACATCAAACGGAAGAAGGCCAAAGATTCGCAGTCCCGTGCGGAACGATTCGCAAGGAAGAAGGAAGAGGCTAAGAACCCAAAGCTCAAGGCTGAGCGGCTACGACGGAATATACCTCTTACGCTTGAAAGGAAACGAGTGTGGGATGATGTTGGGAGCGATGTTGAGGACGGACTGGGAGTGAGCTTTGATGTGGAGCGGGTTAAAAGACAAAAAATGGAGGAGGAGGCACGGCAAGAGAACATTGACAAAATGAATGCCGCAAGTGGCACTAAAGAGCAGGATAACGAAGACGAAGACGGAAATGAAGACGATGAGATAGACAGCATGATCGCCTCCGATAGCGACGAGGACGAGGACGCAGATGAGAAGGACCAAGGCTATAAGTCCTCGCGCACACGGAAATCAAAACTACCATCTGCAACAGAGCGCGCAACAAGTCCTACACAATCCACCAGAAGCACGAATCTTGATCTCGCACCTGACGCCCTCGCAGCCAAATTTCCCACCCTATTTACCAAAGAACCCCCTCCGACGCCGAAAATTTTGATCACCACCTCTATCAACTCTACCTTGCACGAGCAAGCACATCTCCTCACCGACCTATTTCCTAATAGCGTTTATATCCGCCGCTCCGCCCATAAATATGCCCACAAGTACTCCGTGAGAGAAATATCTAAATTTGCCTCAAACCGAAACTTCACAGCGGTGGTGGTTGTGGAAGAAGACCAAAAGCGCGTCTCGGGGATGACGATTGTTCACCTGCCCGTAGGCCCAACGTTCCACTTCAGCGTCAGCAACTGGATCGAGGGTAAGAAACTGCCAGGACACGGAAACTCCACAGGCCACTGGCCCGAGTTGATCTTGAATAATTTCCGTACCCCGCTTGGAATGCTCTCCGCACATTTGTTTCGGACGCTTTTCCCTCCACAGCCCGAGCTAGAAGGGAGGCAAGTGGTGACTCTACATAATCAACGGGATTACATTTTTGTAAGAAGGCACAGATACGTGTTTCGCGAGAAGCGCGAGACGGAGAAGAGTGTAGTCGGGGCTGATGGGAAGGAGATAAAGGGGGTGGAAGGAATCAGAACCGGCTTACAAGAGTTAGGGCCACGGTTTACACTCAAGCTAAGGAGGGTTGATAAGGGTATACAACGGGCCAGTGGACAGGAGTGGGAGTGGAAGGGTGGAATGGAGAAGCAGCGGACGAAATTCCAGCTGTAGTCTATCCTGCCAGTATATGCGCCCTTTCTTTTTTTTCCCCATTCTTTTCTTTCTTTTCTAATTTTATGTCGTCCTCTGGCTTCCCTTTATATTCAGCGTTTTCTTTCTAATTTCCTAGTGCATTTCTTGACGATTCTAATGAATATAGAAATATATCCCGAGTTTCTTTTTGGCTTTGCGCTATCTCTCATTTCCCATTGTCGTCTCTTCCATCCTAAGTACTCACTCTTAGCTACTTGTTCCAGAAATTAGAAAGGAGTTATTCATACATCTTGTCTTGACATATCTATCACCTTACGCTCGCAATATTTCTAAATTTTAAAATTATCTGTGGCCCTTCCCCAGCTTTCATCGATACTGCACTTGCAAGGCCCGAATATCAACGCCTTTTCTCCACATTCCTCAGAAGCAATGAAATCCTTCGACCACGTCATTTCCATTCGGATTCGGCGGCCTATGTGCCATTTTGCCTACTTGGGAGCATACCTGGCTGTCTATGTTATGTGGCGAATGCTGCCTTGTTGCCCGCTGGTGTGTCTGCCGGAATTCTAAGTTGCGTATTAACTGTTCCGACTCTATTCACCTCGATTTGATATTTGTTGCTTGTTTACTCCAATCCCTGATAATAATACCACTATCCGCGCATCCGCGCACTCTACAGACATCAGTCTGCCGGCCTGAGCGCAGCAACCTACATCCCAGTTGACAAAAGGAATGACCCATTCCCCAACCTTGGACGCCTCTTATTTCGCACGCTGCTGGTTTATAAAAAAGGAACAAGATATGGACCACGACCGAGATCTACGATAGCCATGGAGAGACGTATTTGACGAGCTCAGCAGTGGTGGACGGAAATGCGATTCGAGTATGCAAGGTCGTTTGAACGGCTACCTTGGTTTGCCCGTATATTCTGGCAAGAAACGACGTTGAAGTGCGACATTGTTCCAAATTGCGACACAATGGGATGATTCCAGAATAAGAGCTGAGGAAGAGAATATAATAAATATATGGCATCCCTTGAGCCGGGAGCGGTCCTTAGTTTTATTCCTTGTGATATTGACTTCAGAACAATACAGATAGATGTCTGAGAGGATATTCTTCCACTTCATTTTTACACCAAAAACTGCCTTCCCCGCTCCAGAATCCTCTTTGAATTGTAACATCGTACACTAAATCCATTGAATTAAGAAAGTTAGATTTGCAACTATCACAGCCCAGTGAAACGTACCATGGGCTTCGGGAAAAATGCGGACCCAGAATCGCAGCCTGGATACAACCCTATCTCTTGGGCCGAACTTGTTAAGATAACCGGCTGCCAGTGGAATGGGTTCGGGAGCTTGAGAATGTGGGGTGCTATATATAGGGGGCAAGCTAGCCGTGTGCATTGCGGGGCGGCAGCGCTGCGCTTGGGAAGTTGGGATGCCGAATACCAAACGACCAAAAGTTACATCCCCGCGACCCTTCTGAAGTCAAGGAACTGCATACAAACACCTCTATATCCCCTGCATGGATCCCCGGCGTCTAAGACCAGACCCTATTCTTGATATACTTACTATATATGCCCCGATTATATGAATTTTTTTTTTTTTAAGGCAACGCACGCCCTTTCAATACCACCAGAACAGCTATATATAAAACCAGGTTAAAATGATCTCACCACCAAATCCCACTCCTCATCTCACAGCCCTCCAACGCGATGGCTACGTCGTGATCCCAAACCTTCTCTCACCCTCCCAACTGACCGCCCTACGCGCCGCCGCCTCACACGCCTCCGACCTCGGCCGTACGGGCAAATGGCCACACATCCGTACAGTCCCGAAGCAATTCCCCCCATGGCCCTCCACCCCGCCGCCGGCCTCAGAGGGCGGAATCTGGGGCGTGCAGCACCTCATGCACCCCGAAATGCCGGGCCGCGACGAATTCGCCAAGCTCTACTTCTCCCCGCGCGTGCTCGCGATCGTCGAGGAACTCGTCGGCGTTCCCCCACCGTCGTCAGCGAACAGCAGAGGCAGCGATGAGAAGGAGCCGCTAACGATGGAGCTCCTCAACCTGCTCGTGGCGCCCACGCACGTCCCCTTCGCCCTGCGCTGGCACCGCGACGACATCCCCACCCCGCCGTCGCTGGGCCCGGAAGACGAGCTGGCGGCCCTGAAGCTGAAGTCCCCGCCCGGCCGCCCGCAGTCCCATGCCCAGTACAATATCCCCCTGTACGACGATGCGTCGCTGATTGTTGTACCGGGTTCACATCGGCGGGCGCGCACGCAGACAGAGCGCGAAGCGGATCCGTACGAGGATAATCTTCCTGGCCAGTTGGTTGTGAAGCTGGCGGCGGGCGATGCGGTGTTCTATGATAGCAATATTTGGCACAGAGGGGTATATGGGGCGATGGATCCGGAGGTTAAGGGCGAGGATGGCCTGCCAAAGGGGTTGAGGTTGACGGTGCATGGGAGTGTGGGGTTGGCGGTTGATAATGATGGGGATGTTGGAGGGGAAGCGGCGGATATGAAGACGCCCAAGGAAAATGTTAGGGCTCAGGTTGTGTTGCAGCATGGGGTTGGGTTTTGGATTAATAGGGAGGATGCGGCTTTTAGCGGGCTAGAAGGGGAGGTGAAGGAGAGAGCGGAGAGGATGCGGAAGAGGCTTATTGAAATGGGGAGTGGGGAGGGGGTTGGGTATGCTCTTGAAGGGTAGGTCAGGGGGTGATTGGAGTTGAGATTGTTATGATTATGATTATTATAGGGGCAAATGCCTTGACCGATGGATGCTTCGCTTCTTCCCTATGAAAGGATGATCCATCGATGATTGCAATGACAATGTACCAATGAAGGAATAAGCTTGTAAATATTATCCATATGATCGATGGTGGTGGGTCATAAAGTATTTAAACTATCGCTGAGCACACACGCTGAGTATAGCATATATTCTTCTATATCAAGAAGAGGTAAAGGGGGTACACCAGGGCCTAGAAATATAATTAACCCCCCCCTCTTTGTCTCCAGAATGAATAACAGAAAAACCTGTAAAAGTAATTGGAAGCATCCGCGTCTTCTTCAGCCCTCCGCCCCGGCTGAAGGCCATGCAGGAAATGAAATACAAGAAAGAAAGCATAGTCACGAAGTGCTGCCCCGCCAAATGTTCAGGGAAAGTAGATATATGCGCGGGCGAAAAAGCTAAGATGGATGAAGAGAAAATCGTAGTGTTTAATCATGAAATCATTCTCATTAGTCAAGCGCCGAGTCGATACCCGGTTTTCTCCCCGTAACCACCTTCACAACCCCCACCGCCCCCTCCGCCGCTCCCATAACAATCTCCATCTTCACCTTATCACATAAATCTCTCACCTGCTCTGGCGTCCATCCAACATATTTGGTCAATGAGCGCATACTCGCTGCCTCCAGCCCTTCCAACAACACAATCAACACCATTTTCCCCAGCGTATTCCCCCTCGCATCATCATTGCACCATGTCCCAATCGGTACCCGAATATCATATGTCCGGACCTGCTCAAACCCCGCAGCCACCAACGCAGTCATGCGCAGATGTGACAGGTCGCGCGGGTACCCCGCCACATCAGCCGCTGAGCGGATGGCGGATAAAAATATGCTCAGATACGAGTTGGCCGGCGCGTTGCGGGCGTTCAGCAGGCCGGAGGTGTAATCTACATCGGCGACTTCGATGTGGCCATCTGGTTCCAGGTTCTTGAAGGCCTGGCTATACAGGGATGGCCAGTCTGCGATGGCGCCCGAGAGGCCGCGGATGTGGATGAAATCGAAGGGGTGGTGGTAGTTCCATTCGCCGCACTCGGCGTCGTCGATTTGGAAGAAGACATTGGGCGGCGCGATGGAGATGGGGTCTGAGTCGAAGACGGAGATGTCGATGGCGAGGATCTCGGCGTCTGGGTACATTTCGCCCATGCCGAGTGCCCAGTCACCGGCCCCGGTGCCGACGTCTAGGATACGGGAGACTGTCGGGGGTAGCTTGGTTTTGGCGAGTCGGCCGTCATAGATTATTAGGAAGATTTGGTGCTCGATTGATAAACGGGTTTGTTCGGCTTCGTCGTTTGGCATGAAGTAGGTTTCGTTGCAGTAGCGGCGTTCATTCTCGAGTATGTCTTCGATTATGTGTTCGGAAAGGGATTTGGAGGATCTATACAAGTGTTTGCTGTGTGAGTGGGGATGGCGCTGTGACGCGATTTGTTTTGCGGATTGTAAACCGGAGAGAAAAGTAAGACGTAAGATAGGACGAATGTGTTCCTGAGAAGAGGAATATATAGGGAGGCAGGACGAACGATAATGAATGTGAGTGACCCGTATCCGACCCTATTGCTATAGCATTCGTGGTGCCATTTTGTGGTTCCGGTTCGGGAACGTAGTTTTGTGACGTTGGCTCGTTCTCTGCCAAATATGTCTCTGTATTTCCTATATCCACCTCCATATTGGCCTCCAAGGATGGTTTAATTTTTAAATATGAGCCTGCTTCAACCATGACATGACTCTCTAGACACGCGCCTAGAAGGAAGTATGGAATGGGAAGAATCCTCCGGAATTATGCGGACGTATTGCGGAAGTCAGAGAAGGAGGGCATCTATAACTTTTGAAACCACTGATTAATATCATTACTACGTGCAGGCTGGCCGACAGATATGTTTTTATTAGTGGGAACTGATGCTGAGACAAGGAATATTGAGTAGAAAATAGGGGACAGGAAATAAACGAAATAATAGCCAATGTAGTTGTACTGCTTATTTTATTTCTGTTTCCACATGTTGTATGCGTATAGGAGCTTGCACTTTTAGGGACACGTAACCTGGGTCCCGAAATTTGGACGAAGTACGATAGAAGAATGAGGTTTGGAGCGGATGAGATGTATCTATTCTCTCACTCGTTCCCATTGCGTAGGAGATACAATAAGAACAGCGCAAGGAAAATAACGATACGAAAGGTTAAAGTTAGAATAGAGTAGATAGTAGTTAAAACATACCTCTGTAATTAAGTCAGAAATTGTTTATATGATGCACCCTCGCAACCCGCCCTTCTTTCTCAATTGTTGCAACAATCCAGCAATCCGGGTGCGGGGGCTTCCGAGGCGAAGAAGCAGGCCACCTGGGCAATATATATACAAATTAAGCTGGCACGGGAAGGGTCTCCCTTATCTAATCGCCGATGTTAGCTATGTAAGTTAGTCAATTGGGTATTTTTAGGCGTGCGACGGGAAACCCTGGGATCTGATCAAGGTATCCGTGCATGAAGTTGCTTGGGGCCCAATGGCGAGTTCCCAATAGGGGCTTGAGGGATGATTCACCTGTGTTATTTAACCGGAGAGGAGTTTTATTTCCCAGTTTCTTGGTGGCACTGCGTCGCGTTGTGCCGTTGAGTCGGCTCCTTTGTATAGCTACTGCTCGCTACACTCGCTGCGGATTCGTGATGGATGTTAAAAGTTCGTTGCTTGTTTGGGTGCGTCCGCTTCACTGCGGGAAGATGGGACTGAGGCAGTGGAGCTGAATCGATTATTAGCGCGGAACTCCCCTGCCAAATCTGTGAGCTTGGATACTACCGAGAATAGTTTTGTTTGGCGTGAAATTGGATAACAGTGGTTTTAGATTTCAAGGAAGCCAAAGAGAGAGGTGGTGAGGGAAAATGATACTGTGAGATCCCCCGAAAACTTGGGGCGAATACTTCTTGTTAAATGATTTCCCCTCACAAAAACGTTTTACTTCATATTTGTTTTTTCGTCTTGCCCTTCTTTGTTTTTTCCGCCTCTTTGGCTGATTTTTTGCTTCCTCTCCGTTTCTCCACACACCCAAGACCATGGCCTGTCCGCGTCCACTGGCTCGGCCGTGCAAGTGGAGAGGGGGAATCCTTGACCATTCCAATCCCACCCCCGGTCCGGTCACTAGCAAGCAGTACATTAGTCCATGGAGAAACTCAAGTCCAGCCGACAGGAAAAACAAGCAACATTCAGACGCTGGAGAAGGCGTTTATCGGCAGTTGCATGAGACATTTTTCATCTAGCCAATTATCATGGGTGTGAATTGAGGGGGAAAATAACTATACTGAAAAGTCGAAACTGTCTGCGTAACCTTGGGACAGAATCACTGCTCGAACCTGATACACACAACCCCCATTCCCACACACTCTATGATATCCATCCCATGGACCTGGTTCACTATTTTCCCCCCCAACGCGCGTCGGAGACCCAGTTTCGTCTGCAAATCTGCCTGGAGCGACTGTCTGGATAACTAATTGCTTATGACCTGGCCTGCACATTATCATTGGGCTATCCATCAACAGCTCGGTCCTGAGGGGCTTGGTTAACGAAGTTCACGCTCTTCCTTCCGTCATTATTCATTATTATTTGGATTCTTGTAAGTTGTAGGGAACGGGCATGCAGGAACCTGTTCTAGGCTTGTTCGTGTCGTGGCATTCAATTTCATCTCGGACTGGCCTAAGAATGCAGCCCAGGGTGACCAACACGTCTAAGTCCCCACTAAACTGCCTCCCTGCAGCGCGGAAGCGGGAGCTGGGCACTTGGGAAGTAGAGAGTTTGGGAATGGTTCGCGCTTCATTTATTAAATCCACCAATGCAGACCCCGGTAATTTATGTTTTTTGTAACTGTCCTTCTTAGTAAGTGAGATGTAATCTTGCAACGAGGTTTGGTGTTTTATTTCTATGATATTAATCGGGCCTGCCACATGCTGTTTCTCGCTCCGGGAAGAGGGTCAGCACAGCTTGCTTGAGTAGATAATAATGTCGTTGTTCGACTATCACAACCATGGCACGCAGGCCCGGGTCGGTGGGACAGGGAAGCCCCAAAAGAAGCACTGCATAGACGGGCCATTTTTGGACCGCTTCCGGAGGCGGACGGGAGGGAGGATCGGATCGTGAGGTTTCAAATTAGCTTCTTGACCAATTAATTACCTGAAGCGAAGAACCAGCTTGAAGATCTCACGCCCAGCTTCCTGGACAAAATCCGACCTGGGTCTTCTAGGGTCGCTCGGTGCCAGTCGGTGGCCCTTGTTTCGGCGAATGGCAGCTTGGCAAGTGGTGGTGGTGGACGAGTGGGATAACTCCGTAGTGGGATGCGGCGATGTCTGCACTGCGTTTCCTGAAAGGGTCGACCTTTGCCCTAACCCTGAGCCCTAACTGTCTGGTTATGGGCATGACCATCAACTGTTCACTTCTACACTTCTACACTTCTACTCTGTATAGCCATATAATATGCCTAAATACCAGGAGTGGAAATGCAAAACCCGACCAGATGGGCCCCCTTGCTGTGAATGAAACTAGCTCAACTGGAGCAGCGGAAGGTAACTAACCCAATTCGTTGATCTCGTATTTTCACGAAGGCTTATGAATTCCTAGCTAACCAGGCTGAATGTGGACTGGCTCTCACGCGACATTTGGACAGCTGGTGTGCATGTCTCGGCAGTTAATGTTTCTCTCACTACTGTTCATTAGCCGCGGGCATGTGGCGATTGGAGCCTTGTTTGAACGGCAGGCTTGATCAGAGATGCCGAAGCTGAAACGCGCCCATGCGTCCATGAAGCCGGGCCTATGCAGACTGAGTCTAAGCGTCGATTAGTTAAGACGATCTTGATGGCCTTCTGGCTCCGGCTTATTATTCTTAGTATCACTAGGCTAGTTATTGTTCTGACCCGTCTCAAGGTGAGAATAATAATAATGTCAACATGCATTCTCAAGCCCCCACCAATATCTTCCCGCCCTTCCCGTACTCGTTTCCAGACTGCCGGGATATTCTGCCACGTCAAGCAACGCCACACTTTGTTGAGGTGTGGGAAAAAGAAAAAAGAAAAAAAAAAAAATTCTGGTCCTCGTCAGAGGATTTTTGATGCTGGCCTTGTTATATTATCTGATCAAATTGACTGGGGTGAGTAGCTACCTGTGTAGTGCTACCCAGCAAGTAGCTTTGGTGTCCGAGCAGGATATATCTGTATTGTTCGTGCCTCTAATCCTCTTTTTTTTTTTTTGACTATTTTACTTTGCCTTTTCGTTCCACGGTCAACTTGCGAGACCAGTTCCAATTCCTGCGGCAACTGAAAATTATCCCGTCCGGACCACTCTATCGGTTCCATTTCCCAGGCGGTATTGAAATTTACGAATGAGGTGCCACGCTCGAAGACAATCGAAATCCTTAGGAGGGAGATTATTTCCGTTCTTGTCCGTTCACCAACGGCTTGGTGTGGGGTTTATGGGAGTCAACAATCGTTGGGGATTGGCTCTTGTAATGACTAGACGTCATGATGTACTGTACTGTACTACGCCTGCATAACAACTGGATGCTGGAAAGCTGAGATGCCATTACTCCGTAGTCCGTAATCTCCATGAGGTTCGGTCTGTCCCGGGACCAGGATTTATCAGCTTCAATCCGCCATGATTTTTGAGAGCTAAGTGAGAAGGAAGGGAACAGGAAGCAGAAAACTTGACCTCGCTAAGTGCGCCACTTGACCTCGTTATGTAAGCTGACCTCGCAAATGTGGCCCGTGCCACTACCTGACCTCACTCAATACATCTTTTCTTGTAATTTGAAACCACTCTTTCTTTCTTAATTATTTATCATCAATTCTACAATCAATTCAAAATCAATTTAAAATCAATTTAATACTGAAATTATTCTTGAATTTAATAATAAAGTAAGTGTTTATATAATTTACACTGAATTGATTATTAACTGATTTTCAATCAATTATTAATTACTTAAATATACAGATTAAATTTATTTTATTACTATAATTAATTAATAATTAATTCAGAATCAATTCAAAATCAATTCAAAATCAATTTAATACTGAAATTATTCTTGAATTTAATAATAATACTGAATTGATTATCAACTGATTTTCAATCAATTATTAATTACTTAAATATATAGATTAAATCTATTTTTATTACTATAATTAATTCAGAATCAATTCAGAATTAATTTAAAATTAATTTAAAATTAATTATTAAATATTTTTATCTTAATATATTTTAAAATTCTGTAAAATATCTCTTTATATTCTATATGAATTTATCTGTTTATTTAATTAATTATGAATCAGCTATACATGCTTTGATTGATTGATAAGCTGAATAAATGAGTGAATTGAAAGATTGAAAGTCAATTATCAACTGATTATTACTGTATTATGTCTTGAAGAATAACATTGTTATGTTATATATGTGTAATCTATCTACGCGAGTTACACTAAATGAATAGGTTGAAGTGGCACATGACTAGAGTAGATGTAGTAATCATCAACACTCTCTCTTACTACATCATAGCCTATAATAAGCTGTCATCTGAGACCTTTCTCATTCTCAAATCTTTCAAAAATGCAATAATAATTAATTACATGAATCAGACTCTGATTTTCTCATTAGAAAAGATGTCTGTACAGCAATAACTGTAAAAATCAAGAAATACATGCAAAATTCATTGATTTACTGTATTATTATTATCATTCAATCATTTCTTTCTGATCTCTTTCAAATCAATTCTTTTGATAAAATCTTCAAATGCAGGCTTCATCAGTGACTTGATGAGTCTGTCAGCTATATTCACTGTAGAATTAACATGTTTCATCATGATTTCCTCTTTTTCAATTAAATCACAGAGAATATGATATCTAATCTCAATATAGTATGATCTTCACATTAAGAATTCCTTCTTTACTAGATTAATTGCTCTCTTATTATCAACTTATAGATGTGAGCATATTTTTGCTTTTTCATCATTTATTAACTCAGTATTATATAACATATCATTCAATCAGATTATCTTACAAGCTGTCTTACTAGCTGCAATATATTCAGCTTCTGTAATTAATTTGATAATAGATGTCTGTTTCTACAATTATCATGAGATCAGTGATCTGTTAATCAATATAATATAGCTAGTAGTTGATTTGTATTGAGAATTCACCCTCACTCAGTCTGAATTGCAGTATATCACAGAACTCAGGCCATCTTCTATCTTCTTCTTATACAATATATCATGGTTTTTTGTCTTCTTGATATAATGTAGAACATGCTTCAACACTGCTCAACATGCCTTGTGCAGATGCAAGTTAAAATATGAGAGATAGTTAACTGTGAATGCCAGATCTGACTGACTGCTTGAGATTAAATATTGCAATAATTTCAATTCTTGATAATATCTTATAGCTGTAAAGTCATCATTCAATTCCTCTCTCTTATCAGATAAGAATTTCAGTTATATATCAGCTATCATCAGAGTGTCAGCTGAATTTATCTTATTTATATCAAAATCTTCAAGAATCTTCTCAATATAATAACTCTGTGTAACTGCTAGATTATCATTTCTCTGACATTTGATCTTCATTTCAAGATATAACTTGATCTCTTTGACATTCTTTATCTTAAATCTCTTTATAATCTTTCTCAATACTCAGTCTAATTGCTGTTCTTGAGATTCTATCACTTAACAATTATTAATATACAATGTCAGATAGATCTTGTGAACAGAATAATATAGAAATTCATCATCATAAGGTGATATCTTGAATCTTAATGTGATGAGATGTTTTATTACTAGAAAATATCATACTCTTGCAGCTTGCTTCATTTCATATAGACTCTGACAGAGTAGTCTCATTAAGCTCTCTCTGCTATGCTTAATATCTGTGAGTAGTTATATATAGATTATCTCATTCTGTGATAGTATATCATTTAAAAAACATGAATACATAGTCAATTGATTTGATCTTTCATTCTTTGATAGTTGATATAGTGAATAGACTGTGTGATGTAGACTCTGATATCACTGCAGTATATAATCTTATATAATAAATATTCTGCTGTTACAAGAACTCTCTAATCACTCAGTGAGCTCTAAAGTGAATAATTTCTCTCTTATTATTAAATTTCTAATCATATACTCATTTATCTGTAAGAATATTCATTTTCAGAGCCTTCTCAATGATAATATATATCTTCTTCTGTTCAAATATCTTAACCTTCTTTTTTATTATCTTATGTTAATAGTCTCAGTCTGAGCTTCTCTTAACTTCTGTCAGTGTAGTTAATCAGTCTGTCAGAATACTTAGAACAGAATTATTCTCATTAACAGAGTCTTCAGACTCTTCATTCATAATAAACTATATCTTATTATCTAGAAGATAGATTGAATCAATTACACTCTCTAAGTTCTTATTTATAATTATCTTTAAAATATCTGACTTTTTCTTCACTAGATGTTATAGTAAGCAGTGCTGTCATTTCTCTCTAATATTCAGAATATTCAATTCATCAGACAATTCATTGAATTCTCTCACTATATTTACAGATGTATTTACACTTATGTTAAGAGCTTCATCAAATATAATATCTTATGCAATCTCAAGATGACATACAACAGAATTTCACATATAATATTAATATAATTCTTGATATTCAATCAGCTGTTATTTCCTGCTGTCAGTTCTATTCATAAGCTTATTCAATACTTTCAAATTCTTCTTGTAGACCTTGTATCTTTATCTTCATATTCAATAAACAGAAGATTGCATCTCAGTTCACACTTCAAAAGATATAAGTAATGTTTCTTTTTTACATTCAAATATCTTTGTTAATGTTAAAGATGTAATGATTATCATAATCACAGCTTGTATTACTTCATCTCAAAGTTCTCTTTCTAATTCACTATTAAATAGTAGACTTCATGTCTTTTCTGTAACTATTTAATTTATGTATTTCACTGAGTTATTTAATTGTAATGTATTAGATGTAGTCATTTCATACATTATTTCTTTACTCTGACAGTAGATCTTAAGTTCTTGACTTTTGAACTCTTCTTCATCATCTCAGTGTAGAGTTTCAACTTGATATTATATAGTTATCTCAATACTTATAATAAAGTTTATTAATCTTGCAGTAGATTCTTTCTTTCTTATTATAAGAATTACTTATCTATAACAGATTGTATTGTCTATTATACTTAATCAGTAGCTTACACTCTTTCTAGTGAGAGTATCATTTCTGTTGAAAAGTGTTTTTTCACTCTCTATTAGATTAATGAAGAATCTCATTACTGATTTAACAGCTTATGTCATAGATATGAAGATTGAATATATTATTTTTATCTGAACACAGACTTTACAGAATGATAAAGCTTGTTAATCAATAATTCTCA